CGTGACCAGCACGTGACACCCACACACAGCGTAGATGCATCTTGGTTGAATGGCCACACAACCTCCAAAGTGTATCATCTTGCTATAATTCTTAATGAATCTCCTGTAGAAACCCGCGAAGCCAAGGAATGATAATATCTCCTTAACGCTGCGAGGTTCCGGCCAGTTCGCCACGGCGTCGACGCGGTCTTGCTCCATCTCGATTCCCTTTGGCGAGATCACGAAGCCGAGGAAGGATGTTCGCTTCGTTGAGAACTCGCACTTCTTGGGGTTGGCAAACAGCCCTTGGTCCCTCAATCGCTGTAGTACCTCGCGAACATGCTGCGAGTGCTCGGCAGGGTCGTCGCTAAATACCAGGATATCGTCCAGATAGACGATATAGGTGTGGTCCACGAGTCCCTGTAGTGTATCATTGATGTGCTCTTGGAAGGTCGCCGGCGCGTTGGTTAGTCCGAAAGGTATCATAAGGTATTCAAAGTGCTCGTAACGGCAGCGAAATGCCGTCTTCCACTTATCGCCCTCGCGGATACGTAGCCGATGATACGCATCTTTCAAATCAATCTTCGTATACAGCTTCGCTGCTTGTAGGCGGTCCAGAATCTGATTAATCAGCGGGATCGGTGCGCGGTTGCCGCGAGTTATCTGGTTGAGCGCTCGATAGTCCACGCATAAGCGTAACTTGTCGGTTCCTTTCTTTGGCACAAAGAGCACAGGAGCTCCCGCCGGGCTGATCGACCTCCTGATCCATCCTTTGGCCATAGCGTCATCGAGGTATTCGCGGAGAGCTCGTACCTCCTTATCGGCGAGGTTATAGATAGGTCCCCATGGCGGTGTTTTGTCAGGCTCGAGGTCGATAGCGTGCGTGCGGCCTCCAAGTGGCGGTAACTTGCCTGCTTTCTCCTCATCGAACACATCAGCGAAGTCCCTGTATTCAGGCGGCAAGGCCGCCGCTGCCTCGCTATCATCGCTTTTGTCTCCTGGCTCAGGTAGAACTTAGTAGGCTGCTTCTAACGAGATCACTGCCCTTGAGACTCGTGCCACGCGGCGAATCTGCCGCGGACTCGAGACGAGTTCGAAGTTTCCCTTCGTCAGTGGGTAATTCCACTTTCCTTGTTGCCATAACACCTGCGGGTCTGCCAGTCTGAACCAGTCAAGTCCCAACAGCATATCATCAATAAGGCCTGCGATCACAATGCGAAGTCGGTGCTTTCTCGTGGTTCCCCAGTCGTCTATAATCTCCACCATCCTCATGCACTCGCCGTATGTTGTTATAGGTTTCCCATCCTTGCCCGCTCCTATAAGCGGGGCAGTTGGCAATACCACGTCGAGGTCGTTGATATATAGCGGGTTGATCGAGGTTGGGGCTCCTGTATCAAACACCGCTGGTACATTCACTTAAGACCCGCCCTTTCGGACCTTGATCCTCCGGGTGAACGACTCCTCATTATCGCGACCAGCGCCTTCCTAGGCGCGGCGTATGTTCAGGGGCTCTCGGTTGGCATCCGCTGCGGGTGCGTTACTCCCTCGCTGCTGCATTGACGTGCCGTCGCGGACTGGAGGTGGCCATTGACGTTGTTGATAGGCCTGGTGTTTGTCTGTAGTATGGCTGTTCATGCCGCACTCCCTGAAAGATGGCTGCGTACACGCCGACTTCATATGGGAGCCTCCACACTTCCAGCATTCGAGTCCGTGGCCCGTAGGCTGCGAGGTTGGTGCGAACTCGCGGTCCAGAAGATTCTCTCTCTCTCGCGGTGTCTGGCGGCTGGGTAATCGGCTCACGTTCTGATTGGTCTGTTGTTGGTTCGATGGCTGTTGTGGGTGTTGGTAGTAAGGTTTTTAGTTGTTGTAACTTTGGCGGCTCTGGCGTGGCGCCTCAAGATTGTCCATGTTAAGAGCCTCGTCGCGAAGTTGCTCCCAGGTCGTAGGGACCCCGTTGCCAACAACCCAGTCCTGGTATTGCTGCGTCACGTTCAGGAGCGCTTGGCAAACTCGATTCTCTTCCGGGCCCGGATTCGGTACTTCGGCCTCGATAACTTCCCAGGCGTCAAGGAATAATTGGCCCTTCTGTTGTTGGTGCATCAAGCAGCTAGCTAGTCGTTTGTGCGCATCGAAGCAGCGGGTTGCTGCGTCCGGTCTCTGGTCCTTCAACCATTGCTCAACCATCGGCCAGGTGAAATATTCTCCTCCCTGTTGCTGTGCATAGGCTGTCCATCGCCGCTTGATGCTGCCTTTCAGGCAGCAGCTAGCGTAGAGAACGCGCATCGAGTCCTCCGCGAACTGGTCGCTAGACGCCATGAATATACCCTTGAGGTCAACTAGGAAGAACTGTAATTCCGACCAGTTATTTCCATGGTATTGCGGTGTGGGCATGCTGATCTTCGTGAATTGGTCGTGGCGGGCTCGCGTCGGGCGCGCCTCGACTTTAATGCGAGGTGTGTTCGAGATTGACGGGTTCCCAAGGAGTTCCACGTCGTACGAGGGGTCTTCGCCACGTTAGAGGGCTTCCAGCTATTTACGCTTCTTACGACCCACGTGGACACGATGGGCCTCAAGGAGACGTTAGTGAAGCTCATCGCCTTCGAGCTCGCCAGGAGGTCGCTGCGTGCTCAGGGTCAGTGTCATCTATAAGGCTCTTGTTTCCGGCGAGAGGGTCTGCGCCGTTGGAATTTCGACCTAAGGTCTTTCTGCGGGAGATCTCTGCTGCATAGCTGCGTCTTCGTACCGTCCGCGCGATTGATTAGAGGCTCGTGTTCCGATCATTATGCCCCTCACGGTCCCTTCTTCCAAACGTTGGAATTAAAGAGATTGACCTGTCAGAACTGGATTTAATGAAGAGACTGAGAAGGTGCACAATGTCGAGAGGGCGCAGCTAGATCGCTGCGAGTACGGGGTCCTTGGTAACTGTCACAGCTGGTCAAGACTGGGGCCTACCTACCCTTGCACCGCACTCACGTGGACACGCGCCTGCCCCTGCATTTAGTCGCGATCTCGACCGTCTTCTGATTGTAGCTCTTCGAGCTACGTCTTGTACATAGAGCTTATCCGACCTGAGGAGTGCCTATCCGTAGCAATAGACCTGATCAGCCTGACCGAGTGTTCCCTGTCCTACCCGCCGACCGACCGCCCCTTACACTACGTATATAAGGGTTCACCGAGGGAAGAGCTTTCGTAACCTGGGAATACTTCTAGGAAGATCAAGAGATTAATATAGTCACTAAGGACCCTATACTCGTAGCTACCTAGCAGCGCCCTCGCGATATTATGCACGTTCTCACTCTCTTCATCGAATCCAGCTCTGACAGGTATACTTAAAGCCTCGGACCGGCATGGTCCGAGATTATTCATAATTAGCGCGCACACACCACCTACAAGCCGCTTAATAGAGATTCTTCTCCTTCTACCCTAGTTCATGCGCCAAAGTGAGCGAACTGCGCCCACTCCAGCGGCCGCTTCCGCTTCTGACTCCTGAGCGTCACCACGCTCTCCCGCATGGCTTCAGCTATCCTCCTGCTGTCGAGCATGTTCTCCTCCCCGGGCCCAAAAAGCGAGGTGTAGAACCAACCCGTGATCGACACGCAATCATCATTCATCGAGGGCCAGAGGCATGCCACAACGTGCGGGAACCCGGCTGCCTGGAACCCGCTGGCTAGGTGAAGGGCCTCGTCCTGCAGCGGATCGACTTCGTTCCGTGCTGTGGAGCAGGCCGAGAGGACGGCTATGAAGGCATGCCGAAGCTTCAATTGGAAGACGTGCTGTATCGAGAGAAAATCTTGAACACGGATGCCAGATTCTACCGTCTTCTCGAAAACAAGGTGGCTCATCAAAGGGTCCAGACGCGATGGTTCGCCGTGGCAGGAGACGTGGAAGATGCCGCAGTCTTCTATGGCTGCGGTGACTTTGCCTGCGGACGGTTGCTTGATCAAATTGAGCTCAAACCTATTATGCGCGGCTGCGCGGACGGCGCCTATTTCTGCCTTAACATCGAGGTCTCCAAACCCCGGCGTGGTGGCCATGGTGGCAAGCAGGAGGTTTCCCGGTCGTCGCCTCCTATCCTCGTCGGGAGAGGAGGCCGACTGTGTCTGGACGTCGAGTATACGGTCTCGAGAGGCGCGTAGGAGCTGCAGACTTGGCACGTATGAGGATATGGTGCGTGAGTAAACGTTGTTCCTCGAACTTTCCTTGAAATTTTCAGTCGCAGCGTGGAGCGGCATGGATGACGCCAGGCCGCTTCTGATCCACCATACTCGCGGAAGTTTTTGGGGGCATTGACAGTTCAATATCCCTGCCTCCTCTAAAATCGGTTTCACGCAGACTTTCCATATCCATGTCAAGTAGCTCCGGAGTTCCATGTTGATGAGCGCCTGATCGTCGTTGGGACTGCCCGACCAGGCCGTCTTCTTGGACCACTTAAGAATCTCTTCTCCGCAGAGTTCAGGAAGCTGAAGAGTTTTGATCCTATTGCGAGATACAATAACAGCGTCACTCCTGAGATGCGAGCTGTTGACGAAGAAGATAGGCCCCTCAGTCGCACAGGCCATCAACTCCTGTTCAGAAGGACCGAGAAGAAAGTCCTCGAACCCTTTGGTGGCGCGAATTGTAGCAAGACAGGACAGGTAGTCTTGCAAGGGCTTGTTTCGCCCCCTCGAATCATTGTCTGGTGTTGGCTCGTTGACAACATTCTTGGGCAGACTATTCGTGGCCTCGTATGTAGGGCTCCTGAGCACTCCGGTGAGCTGTCTAAATTCTTCCGCGAGCTCTGGTCGCAGGTCTTTTAACCCTTTAGTCCCGTCCTCTCCGTCAGTTCTCCGACCGAGGACAACGGCCCGGCCACCCTCCAGACACTGGAGCGCCAGATGTGGTTTCGTCGGATCATGCTGTAGCATGACTGCAAATGCATCGGAAGGCACGCCGTTGAAGACCGACATGAGAAAGGTGCTGTCTCTGTGACCGAGCCACCGCGGGTTGAGGACGGCCAGGAAATCCGTGACCTCTCTAGCGATCCGAGCAGCTTCGTCGAGTTTGTCAAGCCGATGAAGGATCCGCAAGCAACCTGCCGCACACTTGATCTTATGCATCTTGTGGCCTGCCTCCAAGTTCCAAGCTTCCATGAAAGCAACCTTGGCCCGCTCCAAGTGACTTCTTTCTACCTGTTGAGAGAATTCGGACAGGGTTTCCGCCACGGTCCCAAGCATCCAAAGACAAAATGTTCTTTTATGGGGTTCTACGCTACCCGATTCAACAGCGTTCTCTGCATGTTCGAGGGCTTTTTCAAGGTCCATTTTCATGTTTTCATCAGCGATCTTGTCTGAAGGTCCTCGGCCGCTTCTTAGCTGCCCATGCCGGTATCGGCTGTGGAGATACATTGCTAGATCTGCTCTGTGGTGTTCGAGGTTCGGGCGTCTTCGCAAGTATTCGCTTTCTACTACATGACGTATCTCCTCGATGGCGCTGTCGAGATCTTCTACATTCCCAGACCTCTCATACCTGGCATGCAAGCAACTTGCGTAGAGCTGGCGAGAGCTTGATGCAGCCAGTGGTTCGTCTGGGGCAGACTGGGTGGCCTTACGCGAGTTCTGAATAGCGTGCGCGAGATCGTCGTTGAGACCCGTTCTTTCGAACAAATACAGGTAGGTTTGACCGAGGCCCTCGAAGAACTTGTGTCTCGCCCGAGGAGTGTCGGGCGTGAGTTCTAGTCCGTGTTTAAGCCAGGTGATAGCAGCATCGAGATCCTCCCTCTCCCGATTCAGTGTATAGCGTTCAAGATGACAGGCGCCGAGGTTTTTTGAGGCCGAGGTCAGGAATGTGTTGAAGAGCTCAGGGCTAAAACCATTCTGAGTACCTTCGCCGCTTTTTATAAGCTCAATACTCTCCTTCAGGTACTCAAAAGCCTCGTCGAGGTGCGGGATAGATCCGGTTGCACGATACAGTTGTAGGAGGTGAAACCCTAGATCGGACAGATGCGTTCCTTGCTCGGCCCTGACCAACACCGGGCTAAGCGACTGTGTTCCCACTTCAACTGCTTCCCGGATATGTCCAATGTCGCCAGTTTCTTGATATAATAGTCCCAGTACGTGAGAAAGACTGCCATTGATACGCAATCGCAATCTGAGCGCCATCGCTACCAATGCGAACTTGTTGGCGTTCATTTCGTCTTCGTTCCAGGTCCAATTTGGAGCGTTTGCCACCATGAAAAAATGCCAAACCCAATGCATACTTGGTTGAAACAACCCTAACGCCTGTCGAAGAACGGTTATGGTTACCTGGAGTGACTGAGGATTGCGGTAGCTCGAATAATGCGCGATGTATATCTGGCTGTGAAGGAGGTATCGATGTGGTTGCAGAATCGAGAAGAATGGTGTCTTTAAACAGCAATGTGATATACTTGTCGCTGCGTCGTCGATATCCTCCCTTCTTTGCGTTGTCTGAAACCTCTCGTACGCCTGGTTTGCCTGTTCGGCTAGGGGTTGGGAACCATCGAGTCTCTCGAACATTTGACGGATAAGTAGACATTTTTCTGGTTCGGTTTCAAGGAGGCGGTGGTAATGATTCGTTAAAGTATCTGGCGTTATTGGCGAAAAGGAGGTGCGAGTCCTGGTAATGATGGTCGGAATGACCAGGAGTCTGGATAATGGGATGAACCTTAGAAGGGCCTGGATATGGACCAACGGTATCATGAGCCAATTATATATGATGAATCGAAAGAAATAGTTCATGATTAGAACAGGTGTTGTCTTGGAGTGTCTGATGTGTAGAATAGGTATCGTTCTTTTTCCTATCTCAAGCCAGAGCAGCTTTGGAAGAGGAAAGGTTTGTGTTCAGCCGGCTTAGGATTGCTTTTACAACTTGGAATTCCCATCCAATATTAATGGAATCTCGATCGTCTCGAGATTCGAGAAGTCCTACGGAGGACCACGTGAAAAGTTCTAAGTCGGCGCTAGCTATACTAGATATATATATCGTTCTAGATAGCTATTTTTAGTGTAGGTTTAGTAATTAAGTTCCACGCCGCTGAATATACTTATTTCTAACATTTAATTATATAGATTTTTAAATATAATAAAAAATATATATAATCTATCGCTATATTAATTTATATAAAAAGTCTTCTTAAGCTCTTTCTTACTTTATACTGGTTTGTCTATATAAAAATTGAATTTATTTCTTATAATACTCTTCTTTATCTAGTGATAGACTTTTTTTATTTTTTAAGGTCTAGCGAGATATCAAGGTAAGGAAGGTATTGTATACTCTTTTAATTAAAAGCTTACTGTTAAAGATAATATTAGTATAGTGAAGCGTTATCCTCTTAATTTAATATTCTAAATTAATTAATTTTATATTATTCTAAACAAATATTTTCAGTATTAAGATAATTGTCTCATAGCGCTATCAATTAATATCAGCTTAAGTTTTTATTATGTTTTCATTAAGACTTATAATTATAGCCCTTATAGTAATATTAATATATCGTACCTTAATAAATAGCCTTAGAAGAAGTAATATAATAAAATACGTCTTACGATATTTTATTATATTAAGTGGTAATAATAAAAGAAGGTTTATGCTCAACTTTATTATATAATTTCCTAAAGCCTACTTATCCCCTAACCCTTTAGTATCTTAGCGGCCGAGAACTTTTAGCATAGTCCTCCGCACTAGAGTGGCCTGAGCCTTATCGTATGCATTATTAATTACGTAGAACCGATGACTATTCCACTGTTTGCTGATAGGTCGCCAAGCGCTACGCATGCATAGAACACACGTCGCTAGGCGCTTTTCTCAGCTCCCTTCTTCGCCTCGACGGTGATAGGTAGTTTGTCTAGGAAGCTAAGCTATTAAAGGCTTAGCTAACCCCTACAGAAGGCTAGCGTTCTGCCCCCACGCTTCAGTGGCTTGCCTCAGTGACGTGGCAACCATATCACAGCCATACTACGCATAGCCTCATTATAGCCTCATTGGATTTCCTCTATCAACTCCTGCTGGTATACTATAAGAGAGAGAAACCAGAGGTTATTTCCCTGCTACTTCCTATAATACAGCATCGCATCGGAGGCCTGATGCGGACCACCAAACTCCAGTCCCTTTCCACGAAGTCGACCTATTCCTAAGCATTTTTAAAGCCTTGTCAACCCTAAGCCCTACTGCAGTCATGGGAACGAAAGTCGTGATTCCTAAGACTTTTGCCTCGTTCGATGCATTAAAGCTCGGTCGCTTCATCACCAATCTGGAAAACCCAACAGATGATTTCGACGACCCGAATTATGACATAGCGCCTATGTTTGTCATCACCGATGGGAAGAACTTCAAGGGGCAAGGGGAAAACAAGGTCGCTTCGGGCGTTTTGGGGTATCTCTCTAAATTCCTTTCGCTTCGGATGTCATCTTACCATACAGGCGGTATCGATGTATCCGCACCAGAATACAGGGAGTATTCTTTGAACAATGCGAGGCGCTACTTCAATGAGGCAATAGCCAAGGAGGAGACCCAGATTTTTATCGAGCGAGCTCGCAGAGAAGGTTCTATCTTTATGGTTGTCGGACTGTATACCTTCCGGGATGCCCAGGTTGCTCTGTCGGAGGCATCGGCGCAAAGCAATGAGGGGCAAGCATCGGTACCATTCTCGTACGCTGCGGCTGCGGCAGGAGCTCCCGTGCCTGTCAACAGCGCGATAGACGCTAGACTCTGTGGAGATCGGATTCGAGAAAACGATAGAAACGTTCAGTTGGAAGCTCCTGGAGAGAAAATCTTTGCATTTCGATACTGGAAGGTCAGAACGACGCGCTTACGCAATCAAGGAACACAGCCTCGTCCCGGGAAGGGTTCGCAATGGAAAGAGATAGGCTCGTCACAGTCGAGAGCTGCCGGCAATGAAGGCCAGGGGGACGAGGCGGCTTCGCCTTTTTATTATACTATCCAAGTGGAGGTGGACGACTCGGCCGAGGTTGATCCGAATGATCTTGAAGGTGAATTCGAAGAAGAACTAGAGGATGGGGTCAATTTTCTAATCCAGAAATAGAATGATATGAAATATTTCACGGTGACCTCTCATCGAGAGATCGAGATGTGTGGTTGCGCGTAGAGGCCCCCTGGCCCCAATAGTCGGGGCCTACCAGAAACATGCATAAGCGAGCTAGCCCAGCCGTTCTAGCTCCGCGACAGGGGACAGAATCATTGACTAGTTCACGCCCCAGGCGCCTAAAACGTCGCGCCTACCTCTGACTGATTTTCTCCCGCGCTGGACCTCAAGACGCTTCACGCGGTTCACGAGCAGGCCAACGCAAACCGGCCCAATGATGGTGCATAGCGTAATGGCCCAAGTTACGACCAGGAATATCTAGGAGGGTTGGTCAGGGGAACCTGACTCGCCGCTGAATATGCCAGTGCTCTCGGCTAACGCTGAGATCAAAAAGTCGATTTCCCCACGGGCAACCATTGCAAGACCGAGAATGGAAGCCGGATAAACTGAAACAGGCATTTCCGCCTTGGACGATGCGTTTGATGGAACACTCCCGCCTCCTTGAGAGAATGCAGGCTGGAGAAGCCCGTTGCCATTCGGGCCATCCTGGACGGTCTGTCGTTGAGATCGCTCAGACCTCGCCTCATCGGCGTTCGTCGTCTTATCCGCTCCAGTTGCCACACACTTCGTTCCAGATGCGATTTCGTCAGTACGCTTCTTGCCCATGTTAAAAACCTTCATGACGACCCCTGTCCGTGCTAATAAGCGGTGTAGTCGCTTATCTGTAGATATTAGATACTAACGAATCGACCCATGACATCCTCTTCCGCTTAGTTACTACACATTTTGTCGTTATCTTAAGATGAACGAACATACGCCGCAATTTCCGGATGACTGTCTTCCCCCAGAAGACAGCTATAACTCACGACAGCAGGAGCTACATACAGCGATCAATACCTGGGCATCGCAACGAGGCTATGCCTTTGTTACAGGAAGGTCAAGAAACACAAACAGCGGCAGACAACGATTTGTCTTTATATGCGATCGCGGCGCAGGTCGCACCCCTGATCCTTCAACTATACGACAAAGGCTTATAACTTCACAACGTACTGGCTGCCA